TGCATAATTCAGTGTCGATCTACTTCCAACTGCTAGCACAGAATATGTATATTTAACTATCTAATCTTATTCACATAGTTAGTTCCGAATGAATAGTTAGTTAGTTTGGGAAAATTGTAGCCCAGCCCATAGTGAGTAGAAAAGGAAACAATCCCATATTTATCCTTCTTACTCAACAACTCCCTCGTTCCTTTATATAAGTAGATAATCATAATTTCATTATAGAATTGAAAGTCAACGCATGAACAATTCACTGCACGGAAAATACATAAAAAATAGAATATTTCGGAATAAATTTTTTCAAAATGGGCTCTAATTACCGGCTTCATTCTTGGTATCTCTATAATGTACTAAAATAAATACAATTTTCATTACGAAAAATGAACTCATGGCATCGCTGAGCTCATAGGTACGCAATTATATCATAAAAAACTTAAAAAATACATGTATGTGTGTATGTAAAATGTTATGTACACGTATAACTTGAATAAACATTAAAAACCAAAAGCAAAAATAAAAGAAAAAGCATTTTACAAACCGCCGAAAAAATTTCTTTAACAAATTTTGCTTGTTTTATTTAAATATTTTTTTTTCCTCTCGTTTAATATAATAAACGAAAATTCAACCGGAAAAGAAACCTTTCTTTGATCGTAAAATAGACGGAATGATTGGTTTTTCTTTTTCGTTTTAATTGTAAAAAAAAAAATTTCTTTTGAATTAGACATTATGCATGTTGTCAACAATTTAAAGCCGAAATTCAAATAAATTCGAATGGCGAATAACAAATTATTTGAACAGGACTAAGAACCGATGTGTTGTGTGTGCAATATACAAAAAATATTGAGCATAAAGCAATATAGTACAAATAAAATATTTCGATACGTTAGTAATCGAATTAATTATTATAATCTTCTTTTAATAAATTAACAGTAAAAGGTGCCGTTTACATCATACAACCGTTACGAGGAATTTAATAAAATTTATTTGTATATAAGTTACCACATTGCCAGAGTGTTACCAAAAATCATGAAAAAAATTTTGTTACGCTATATGTATATGTGAAAAACATAGTACTATACTAAATATCGCGTATAGCTGCAAGAAATCGAACCCTACTTGTTACTCGAATTAGTTAAAAGGATATGTGTCCGAGAGCGCTTTAGGCGTGATAGGTGGAAGGGGGAGCACAATAGATTCACTTCTTGAATCGCGGTGTATTGTTAGCCCATGCCTATAATATAAATCTGCAACTTTTTATTTAAAATTTAAAAACATGTGTACGTATTAGCTATTGTCACCTGTTTGACATTTTTCTATTGAGTTCTTGACATTTAAAAATTGCAATTTTGAAAATCATTGAAGTCCCGTATTACATGAAATCCATATAAAAAAGCTTGTTTTACCAAAAACATTGCCCAACTAATAGAACCGTAAAAGTAACTCTAACTGTAAAATTAATACATTGCAGTTTCCAATATTTACGGTATCATGAGAAAATAATTTCATTCATAAATTATGTACTGTTTCTGCCAATGAAAAACATGGCAAAAAGTATACGTGTACGCTTATCTTGTATACCTTGTTCCTTTTTTGGTACCTTACAGCTTTTTTATTTTTTTGAGCAAGTGCGAAAATAAAAAATTGTTCAAATAAAAAAAAGAAAAATAATAATATTCTTTTGTGATCCTTGACTGCAATATGCGTTTAAATAATACATACGATTTGTACTTCTTCCTTTTCTTTGTATACCTGTAAAAGAAATGTGTGTATAGTTAGGTAGGTTTTTTTTTGTTTGTCAAGTTTTTATGTACACAAAGAAGCGCAAAATGAATTTAAATGTTTTTCTTTTAATTACATTTGACACCTTATATTTATTTATTATTTTAAGCTATTTGTGCATAAATAATGTCGGTATTTTTTGACTTTTAACTCATATATGTATGTATGTACATACTATGTATGGGCCTTAAACACACACAATTTAATAACAACTATTAAAGAGTTTGTTTTTTATTTTGTGAACTAATACAAAAATTCTTGATTTTTTTTGTTAAAAAAAAAATTATGCACACATATATGAAATATGTATGTTGATGTGTAAACAGACTTAAAATCACGTGATATCCCTATTACAATTTCGGCATCACTAATTTTCTAATTTATAGGCTATTAATTAAATTTAATTAAATTATCAATTTTATAAATTTTTTACATTTTATTCTTTTATAGATTTCAATAATGACGAGTCGAATTTTGGAATTAACAAACATTTGCAACCCTTCACAATTCATTGGCAGTTTATATCAACATATCAAACAAGATTTGTATTTTATAAGTCCTAGTCTTCAAACATTTAATTTGATTGTACAGCTACATACATGCTTATAAAATATTGTAAAATAAAATAGGTTTGAACTTATACAACTCAAATCAATCTTATGTCGGAAATTAGCTTGGAACAGAGAAAATTCGGATATAACAAATGCAATAAAATAAATGCATATATATTTTGGTGAACGAAGTCACTCTTAATGTCAGAAAATAAAATTTGTGTTCAAAATACAGGAATTTCGAATACAGTAAGCAGGAAACAGTTAGTTAACAAAAACAACTTCGACTTGAAGAGAAATTCAAATTAGAGGCGGTTCGTTTAATTAATGTTCGACTGTATATAAATTTAAGAATAAATTAATATTTAATTATTAAATTCAATTATCTTAAATTATAAAATATGTAATAAAATTTAATTATTGTTTTTATTTAAATATATAATTTTTATATAATAATGTACATAATAATTATAATTATAATATTATTTTATTTTTTTTTATATATATAAAATCACATTTAATGAAAAATTATTCAATTAAAAATTTTTAAACTATAGAAACCCAGATTACACTTAATATCTTATGCTTTAAAAAAAAAAAATTAAATTTTACATTTCTGCTTATCTTAATTTTATACGAGCACGTAATTTTATTAATTAAAGACAAATAAAGCCTTACATTTAGTTTACAAAAAAAAAGAAAAAACGCTTAGAAAACAAATATTTTTTTTTACATATTTAATTTTTTTTTTGTATTTCATACATTTTATGCATATTTATTAAATATTTTTCCCCTACAAAATTTTAATATTGTAATTTATATTTTATTTTTAATTAATTTAGAATTTAAAAGTTAATTATTAATTTTAAAAACTCATAAACACTGACTTAAAAATTGCAGTGATATTACGATATTAATACACAATGCAGCTTATATAAATTGTAATTGCTGAATAATAGCTTGATAATATATAGTTTTACTGCAATTTTGATGTTAAAAATTGTTATAAATAATGAGGAAGTTAAAAATTACTGCCAATTACATTTTATAGTAATAAATTAAATTTGAAGTTCAAAAACGTAAAAAAATTATGATAATTTACACTTTAACGCCAGGTCAGTTTAAAAATCAACCAATATTGAGTAAAAAAAAAATATTACATTCCTTTTTACCTAAAAGTTTATTAATAAAACTGTTAATTGAACAATTTTAGCTTTCATCTTAGTAATAAGTTTGTCTTATAAAAAATTATTAAGCGTTTTAATATATACGCATGACTAGAATTATTGAATTACTTTCGGAAATGTCATTTACAAGTTGCTTTTGCAAAAGCAACTTTATTTTAAATGCAGGTTCGATTACATCTGTGTTAATATTTTGATTACAATTTAAATTTGTATAATTTTTAGCCATTTTTAATTGACTTTCTGTTTTTGACAAAAATGACGTTCCCGATTACGGATAAATATAAAATGCAACTATACATTAAAGATTTTTTTATTAAACGTCAATTTAATTTTATTCAAATGTCACGATGAGTAAATTCACTTTGATATTAATATAAAAATATAACGAATAAAAAAATGTTGAAATTTTAATAAAAAATAATAATAAATTTAATAAAATTTTGTTGCGACCCAAAAGATATTCAAGAAAACAGTAAAATTTTAAAAATGTTATCGTTTCTCATAATATAATTCAGTAGATTGTAAGTTACATATGACAATTAACATTTATTTCAACAATAAAATTAACAGAATACTCAATTAAACTCTTCTTAATTTAAATAACACTCTAGATTCGGTATTACAAAATACGATGCTAACTATCGAGTATTCGTACCATATGGAAAGTGTATTGAAATTTTGTTTTTGTGCCTACTTCATATTTATTTACCAAGCTTTGATTAGTTTACCGCAAAAACTAGAGAACATTCAACGTGATATCAATCTTACGTAGCATAAATATTCAACGCGTATACGTATGCTAAAAAGTATACTCTAAATATAAGTTGTGCCAAAGTGACAGTCACAATATAATTGAAACATTCAAAATTTGCAATCGTTGTTGCAATATTGAATTAAAGACATACTTAAGGTAATATTGGTTTAATTCAATTTTAGAGTTAGACAACGACATATAAAACCTACTTGAATGATTTTATGAAAAATTAAAATCCCTCATCCTTGAAATTAAGAAATTAATAAACAATTTTAAATACTTAAATAGAATAAAAGAAAAATGTTAAACAATTCAGTTGATTAAAATTATTCTATTTTAAATTAATTTCTTTTCTAATATTATTTATTTAAATCTAAATTAAGTAAATTAATTCTGTCACAAAATATTTTATTTTTAAAATATAGTTACAATCTAATGCGTGGCAATTAATTAAATGTTTTTTTTTTTATAAGACAATTCTTAAAACTATTCGTAATAATAGTAAAATCAATATTGGCTTGACAAAAACTCTATAGTTTCGAACTATATACAAAAACAGCAATTTTTATACTTTTATGAGAATTATTAATTTTGGCATTCTTTTATATTATATAAGTAAATATGAAATTCATTTTTAACTTAGCACGATAAATGTATATAAAAAGGGGGATTAAATACATATTTTTAAATTTATAAAATACATATTTATAAGCAATTTAATAGCATATCCGTACATAAAATCCAATTTCTATATAATGATGAATATAATTTTCTTGTTCAGATCATATTAATAATGAATTAATAATAAATTTTAATTCGTATCTTAATTCTTTAGAAAAATCTAAAACAATTCCGAAATTTAAAATCAATTCATAAAACATTTAAAAGGAAACTGAAAACAATTTAATCCTAGCATACACATTTTGAAAATTTGGAGATGATGGTGTTTTTATTTTTGAAATTTGCAATTAAATTTTTAGAAATTAATTTGTGTTCCGACTTCTCCATTTTAAAACTTTCAAATACACATATATGTTTTGAGATTGTAATTGAAATATTATACGAGAATTTTTTAAATGTAAGAGTATTTTCAATGTTATTGCGTATTAAACCAACTCCAGAATATATGTATATTCGGCTCATCCTGAAAATCTTATCTTTTGAAAAGTTTCGTTTTATAAACTTCCATACTTGCTCCTTTCAACAATTATTTGATTTAAATAAAACTAATTAGAGGTGTTGGCACAATTCCCTAAAAATTTCTAAATTTATTTTTTGAAAAAAATCTTTTAAAATCTTAAATTTGGAATTGCAAAGCCTTGAGCGCTTCTTGTGTAATTTTTCAAAATCATTCTTAAAACTTTTTTATCTGGTTCACACCTTCTTTATTTGAAATGAAATGTGAAGTATGTATTTATAATATTACTTGGACCCAATTATATTCATCATTGCACTCATATTACTAATTTAATCCATGACTATTCATTTGTATTATTAAAAATACATTTCTTAAAGTTAAAAATTTTCAAACTTTTAAATCATTGTAAATTTAAAATACATGTGAAGTTTTCGAAGCCATAACGTTTCAACTTTGAAAATTGCATTTTTAAAAATACAATATATTTTTTTTTTAAATACATATTATGTATACTTTCCAGTTTATAATGCGCATTGCGAGGCTTTATTATAAATGGAAATTAAATCAATTATTATTTAAAATAATTTTACATTTTGAATACAAAACGTTGTAAATTTTTTTTCAAAACGTTCTTAATTTTTATCACTTTAACTGGCACAAATGAAAAATATTCCAGTTTTTCTTTTTTTTTTTTTTGGGAGGAATACAAATACGTAAAATAGAATTATAGAAAATATATATTTTTTTTACATTTTTCCACTTAACTCATTCCTTTTTCGTTTTTAGCATACAGCAGCCGCCTCGTATACAACAAATAAATGCAAAAAATTATCTGGATAACTTAAATGCTCAGACATCCATTGTAATGGAGTGTCTTCATGTACATCAATGCCATGAGTTCGTATTCCAACTAGGATTAAATAAAAAAAAAATTTTGAAAATAGAAAATCATTATTAAATTAAATGTAATTAAAAGTTTTTTAAATAATTAAAAACAAAAATTAATTTAATATTTTATTTTCAATTGGTATACAAATTACTCTTTTTGGTTTTTAGGTTGCGGTAAAAATGGCAGTATTTCATTATGCTTATTAATATTTTAGGGGTCATGTCTATATATTTAATCAATATATCCAACTTATGATGGGACGAGTTCTATTGTCATCCTGTTTATGCAAGCTTACCATAATACATACTGATTTAAAATCTTAAAGTCTTAAATTACATACCACATTTTTAAATTTAACTAGCATAAATCGTTTTAATACTGCGTTTTATTAACATAAATGCCCCCGAAACATATAATATAAAAATTAACCAAGCATTATTACAATATTAACTACAAAACTAGAGCTGAATAGTTTACTCTAAATGTCTAAAGCAACAACATAATGAAATAAGCACAAATTAAGTTTTTGTCATTATATTTTTTTTAAATAAGTTGCAAATCTAATTGTAATTGTTTCATTCAAGAAAGATTTTAATTCAAAAATTGAGTATAAGCAATCAGTTTTGCAAATGCAAAAACAATAAATTCTATAAGAAAGTGTGTAATTCTGAATATTTCTTGATATTCTAATCACATTACTGCTGAAATTGATAAACAAATCTATAAAATTTAATAATTCGAAAATCATTCCCCAGTTCGGGAAAATTGCTGAACATAATTCAAACAAGAACCAAACATTGAAACAAGAAACATTCAAACAAGAGCCAAACATAAAATTTAAGATTTATAAACCTTACATTATTTACTCATTTACAAATTATACAGATGACTTAAATGAGTACCAATTAAAAGAGGAACAGTAATGTTATTTAATTTAGTATTAATCGATAACAAAATTACTTGACGCACTTCGTTTAATGAAATATGTACCTATACATATAATACGACTTCATATAGTATTTCCAAAATTTTAAAATTGCCAGGAAATTTCCTAATTTTAAATGCAATATAAAAGTATTGGGAACGTAGGTATATGCTTTTTATAACTCTTTTGAAAATTATTGTGAATTTTTTCAACGATTATTTAAAATTTCTAATAAATTTTCTAAAAATTTTTTTTCCAATCAGGAATTCAGAGACAAACAAAATCTCTTAAAACAAGGATTGTTGATTCATAATTTAAATGAACTTCAAGTGACGGTATTAGGAAATAATAAAAAATTATGTACATATATTGTACCTAGATATAAGAAATATTGTCTCCTAGTACGGTATTTTACAATATAGCTTACAACAAAATTTGAAAGCCTTCTTTAAACATACGCGCAAATGTCTGACCCCAAACTATCTTTTATTTTTCATTTTACTTTTCTAAATTAATTTTGCGATAAATTCTAAATTCAAAAATTTCATTAATATTCAATAATCGGATTTTTATAGAATTTAAACAATAACGTGACTTAGAACACATTATAAAATATAAAACAAAAGAATTTAACTTAAAGACATTTTTGGAAATAATTCAGAATAGTTAAGTAAGTACGAGCATATTATGTATATGATTTCATATTTACAAAATAGTATCCATATAAGAAGGGAAAAAGTGACTTAAAAAGGCAAGAAGAATTAAATTATTATTTTTTTTCTGCTTTTGTTTTTTTTTTGTATTTTGGTGCATAACGGAAGAAATAAAATAACACTGAACACGCGTTTTATAACCATAAAATTTAAGTACAACCGCGTGATTATATTATAATCAATGTATACATAAATCTAGTTAAAAAATACTCAGTGTTTAAGCAATAATAAAACCCCTATACAAATCAATTTATGGTGTTATTAGACATTGTAATTCAAGAGAACGAAATTTTCTTAAAAATTGTTTTTAATTATTGGACAACACTAAATTTTGTGCTAAATGAACACCTCAATTTAATGAATTAGACAATTTGAGTATCAATAAAGAAGTTGATAGCAAAATTCACCCTTTCAAAATTAAATCCAGCGTTATATTCTAACTTTAATTTGAATAGACATTTTCGTCTTCTCATTCTAAAACAAACAATTAAATACTTTGGAATGGAAATTAATACAATAGTTATACAAGTACCATATTGTGAAATGAAGATGATTACCATTACCGTTCTTCGTGGATAATTCAATGGTTATAAATAAGGATTTTGACTTCTAATTCTTTCTCTTTTATTTCCACAAATACTTCTAGTTCATTATTTCCCAAACTTTTTCCATGTTTGCCTCCCTAAGCCAGACGAGAGCAATTGTACTATTCTAATGTTATTCTCATGTGCAAATAATTTTTGAAACTAAACCAAAATTCTGGAAAATTTTTTAAATTAAATTCCGTTCCCAGCAGTTCTTTGATTCGAAAATGTATAAAATAGTTGATTTCGTGCCGGTAATAAAAATCATGAATTTCTTTTTTTGAATACAATGGCAACTATGCTTGAAAATTTTACTATTACTACAAAATGAGAAATAAAATTATAAAAATTATTAAAATAATTCTTTTCAATCATTTTGTTTTTACATTAATAAAACAAGTTTGCTTTAAAAAATTTTTATGTTGTTTTAAAGAACTTTTGTGCTTCAAAAACAATTTTGACTTGCTGCAAATTGAACACCTTCGATGTAGAAGTCGCTTAAAATCAAAATATGAGAGACAAAAAAAATTGAATTTCATATAATACCTTATAAAGCTACTCCTAGTTAGTCCCCCCGGTTGAAAACCCTGATTTAAAGTCTTTAAGACTGCCAATTGGAGATTCGTCATTATATTTCATTCCTACAGCATGGTGTCTAATCAAAAAAGTATTATAAATGTATTCTTAGGTACATTCAATACCTAAATCGCATACCCTGTATTAATACAATATTTAAACATTTCCTACATAAACATTTCTTTTTTGTCATTTAGTCAGGTCAGTTGGTATATAAGTATGTACATAAATTGTTTACGTGTACATTAAAAATAATAATACTTATAACAACGTGAAGATTCTTTTTAATCTTCTCATACAAAAATTTCCAATATAATATGAAATTTCATACAATATCAATTGATTCCGCTTAAATGTATTGTTCCAGAGCACATCAAAGTGATTGTTTTCTTATTATTTTTTTTTGTTTTTTGTTTTATTTCTTTGAAATTTTCATTACCATTCCGTAAATTTGTTGTTTAATTACATATATCCGCTTATTCAAAATATTTTTATTCAATATATATACATATATATGTTTGTATGTATGAACATGATTGAATATTTTAAAATGTACATGTTACATCGGCTTCAATTGTGTAAATTAATAAATAAATAGAAATATCTAGTAAAAAAATATATGAATTACGTACAACTTGTATATTGTAAAGTGCTTCCCTTTTTTTATTCTACATATACAATAATCGTTATATCAAAAGTTAAGTTAAAATTTACTTTGATCAAAATAAGTAGTTTTAAATAAGTTTTTAAAATCTCAAATTACTTCATAATAATATTGTTTAAAAAGACACTGAACTTATTTGTGTCTCACATATCAATTTCAAGTAAACTTTTATATATTGCCATTAATATGCATTTATTATGTTGGTAAGTACGATTATGTTTTTTCTCATTTAATTTTTCTTTTTAATCCTTAACCTTTTTTTTTTTTTTGTTTTCACTTTATTGTGCTTACTTGCTGCAAGTGTGCTAACATTTTTTAAATTCTGTACATTAATGCATTATTGAAATATAAATTTATCGATGCAATAAAAGGTAAAAAATGTTTAAGAATTTCTATACAAAAATTTGAAAAGGAAATATTGTATAAAAAAAAGGATATCATTTCATTACAATTTAAATTTGCAAGTGTTTATTAAGATTATCAAGAATTTGATATAATATAATCAAATTTTCATGTTAAAAATATAAAAATTTATTAAGCAACTTAAAGAAATTTTCTAGTTTATGAAACTAGATGGACTTTCCTTCTAGACTTTCCCAAAAAATTAAAAAATTTTCAATATTTGTTGAGCTATGCATATCGAAAAATACAAATTCCAAAAAGTTTTTATTAACATAAAAGTAAAAAGCATAGTATGGTTGCTTAGTTTAATAGCTATACAATTAGTTTAATAGCTATACAATTGTAATAGCTATAATAAAAATCGAAATACCAATGTAGATCGATTCGATAAAATGGAAATGTATATCTGGTCTGGTAACAAGTAAAAGTTCTTAAATCATGTTTGATTTACACTATCGTTTTAGTTGCCGACAATGACAATCACTGACTTATTTTGCCTTCTTGTCCTGAAAAGAAAATAAGCTGCAAAAATCTACCAATATCCAATCAGAAAATGAAACAAGGATAACTAATACAAAGTCCTAGCGTTTAACAATATTTCTCAAAATAACTTAAATTTCAATCTAATTCCTCCAAAGTCTGGCTGCTAAAAATTGAAAATACATAATTACATTATTTATATTTCAAATTCTAACAAAAAAAGGAAAACCCTTTTAAAGTGAGTTTCCTCACTACTCATTAGTTATAGAACTAATAGAATTTCCTTGTTCTAGCGATTTTTTTCATGGAAACAAATTCAGTGGAAATGTGTAGGTCATCATCGTTATATTTCTATCATAAAACGGCCACTTGTTATATAAGGCGTTTAAAATTTAAAGAACAATAACGTGTGACTGGGAATACTACATAATTTTATTTATAGAATATTTACTGCCACATAATTTTGCCAAAATTGAAAAGTAATTCTTAAATTTGCTAAAGGTCATACCCGACCTATAACAAAGTTAATAAATTAAATTAATAAACTTTACTTACTTGCTTGTTTTTCATTTTGTGAAAGATCCGACAGTAAATCTTTTAATATTCTTTTTTGACCAGATTCACAAACAGGTGAAATTAATTTTTGAATATACGTACCATCCTATTACGAAAAATATAAAAATTATTTTATAATTAATGTTATTACAATATATAGGTATCTTCAATTCATTCATGATTTTACGAACTTCCATATAATGAAAATGTGGGCATGAGATCTTTAATACGGCTATTTAGGTTTTGAAAATAAATAATACGTTATACTATTTCTAACAAATTAACACACCTCATTATAAAATTTTATTGGAATATGCTTGAAGCATTCCTGGTCTCCACTTGTTTCCATTAGTCGTCTGTTAACAGCCCAAAATTGATCAAATTTATCTAGAGAATTAATAAAAACATTGAGAACGAAAATGGTTTTAATTTTTCTAATTATCTACCATTTACTAGACCCAACCATAATTGATTATGATCTTTCTTTTGCATAGCCGATATAACTTGGCCACGATGCTTTAAAACATCAGCTTCTTTTAGGCAAGACATAAAATGAGATTCGAGTACGTCTCTAAAAAATACGTTAAAAGATACAAGTAAATTCTTTAAATTAAAAGTAATAATTTTTTGATGTTTTTACTTACTTAGTAGAGAATTTTACTAATGTATCTTCTGGAAATTTTGTAAAATGTATAGTTAAAGGCCAAGGCAATTCTTCTTCACGGTGTGTTAAATCATATAGCACGCCTTTTTCAGGTAAAAATGAGTTTTAATTAGTAAATTCTTAACATATAAAAAAAAACATTTTACCTATAGGAAAATGAAGTTTCAATGGGATCCCATTATAATCGAACCAAACATCACCTTCTTGCTGTTCATTGGAAATATAGCGTGTAAAATATTTACGAGCCTTTAAAAAAAATTTTATTTATAATGTAGTTTTATATTTGATATGTAATATAGTATTTACAAAATATTATATAGCAATATAAGTTTATCTTACCTTATCAGTTACTAATGGCAGGTATGAAAGCCTTGATACTAGCAAATAAAATGGTTCTGGTTGTTGTAAGCCAACAATTTCATCTGGATCAGCTTGAAAACATACTGGAAGTTGATATTCCCAAATCACCCTTAAGACTTCTCTATCATTTGCCATTTTTTAAATTATGACTTCACTCCAATAACAAATATAATTAATATTTCAATTTTTGTATACTTAATCAATTCTAGTACAAATGAAAGTTTAAAACAAATAAAATACAAACAATTCAAAATATGTCAAGCTAATTGTCATTTTTGAAGTAGGTAAATGTACATAAATGCAAAGAACATTTAATTTGCGTTTACATTTTTAGCACACATTTTAGTACGTGAATTTAAGATATACGTTCTATATAATTTGTTTATTGGGGAGAGTGTTTACACGTGTTTGATTATAGCGGTTCTGAATACACAAAAAGGATAAGTATTGTTTCCATATGAAACTCATTTTAAGACCTTTATTATAAGTTTATAGTCTTATAGGCTCATAAAACTTTAAACACAAAACTTATGCAATTCCATGACGAAATTTTTGAAGCATTAATATATTAAGTATTTGTGTAGAATATCACGCAAATAAGAAAATACTTATTCACTAAGTCAAAATTTTATTTATGGAACTAAAAATTCAATTTTCGAATTCGCAATTAAAATGGAATTCTCAAAAAAAAAATGAAAAGAATTCAGAAAACGCCAATTTTAAATTTATTGCAAATTAATTTTATATATGTACTTCTTTTTTTCTATTATTTTCCAAAAAACAAACACAAAAATGCCTTATTAATATTCCAAACTACTCATTCTCTAAGTACCTACTTCCCTTGTGGAAAATATGTGGGTTATTTTGCAATGTCCAAATTTGGACCTTTATTGTAACTAGGTTTTTTTATATAAAAAACCCTAGATAAATAAAAATGTGACAGCTAAATAACATATGATCTTTATTTACATCACAGATAAAATAAAAATATAAAATCAAACCAAAACTAAAACACCCATTCCAACTTCAATACGTAACTGCAATACCGTATTAATTTTTAAAAAATTTTATTTAAATCTTATATAACTAGAAAATGTTGAAACCTGTAATATTTAGGCAAATTAATGCGGAATTACGTAAAATATTTATTTCATCAACATTTTACCAGAACACAAATTTTTACAGTAGACAATATAGCAGTCAACCAATTTCAATGGCTTATAATGAATATGGAACCGCTGAACAAGAAACCGGCACTCTCCCGCTTATAATTATGCATGGACTTCTTGGATCGAAAAACAATTGGCGGGGTATGAGTAAAGCACTTTCTTCTAAATTTAAACCTAGTAGGAAGGTTAGTAAATAATATTGTATTATTATATGGGAACTTGTGTACCTAGCCATCTTATTTGGAAAATTGTACTTTATAACACTTCCAGATTTACGCATTAGATGCTCGTAATCACGGAGAAAGTCCACACACTAATGTCCACGATTATGAATCAATGTCATCAGATTTATGTAATATTTTGATAGCTAATACGCATAATCAGATAACAAAAAAAATAACTTTAATATTACTTATAAACTTTAGCGTTTTTTTTACAAGAAAAAAATATTAAAAAAGCGGTGTTGATGGGACATTCAATGGGTGGAAGGGCCATGATGTATTTTGCACTAAAATATGTAAATACAAACTGCAAAGTTGTGAAAATGAACATTTACAGCTTTAATTTATTTTAGCCAGATTTAGTCGACCGAGCTATTATATTAGATATTTCACCAATTGATGTGCCTAGAGATTTTTTTCAGATGAAAAATCTTTTTATAGCTATGGTAACAGCGGAAGTTACTAAAGGAACTCCATTACCAAAAGCAAGAAGTATTGTTGAAGCACATATCCGAAGCGCCATAAAAGATGATGCTCCATATGATTTTATTTTGCAAAATTTAAAAAAGACCGAAGATGGATCGTATGTTAATTGTTGCCTTTTTTATATTTTTCCATTAGTTAATTTTATTTATTTTTTGTTTGACATTGTGTCTCAGTATCATATGGGCTCCAAATGTAAAGCTTTTGTTAGACAATTTGGAAATTATTGGGTCTTTTCCATCTAATATTCTAAAATCACACCAATATAAAGGACCAACTTTGTTTATTGCAGGATCAAAATCCAATTTTTTAAAGTAAGTATCTACGTATTTAATTATTTTAAGTTTCATATTTTTCACTTAATAAACAATACATATATAACTAAATTTTCTTAATTAATTTGTATGTTAATTTTCACAAAAAAATTACTTCAACTGATTTCTTCAAAAAAAATCAGCTCATTTAAATTCAATCAAATTACAAATACGTTTTCATATGCAGAACAAAAATTCATTGACTGAACCCATTGCTTACATTTACATAATCCACATAAATTAAAAAATTTTTAAATTGATCAATATATACAATATATGATGTAGATATAAAGAATATCAAGAGATTCAATTAAATAATATTAATTGAAACATATTTAAATTTTTAGTCCTGATCATTGGCCAGAAATACAATTAACTTTTCCAAATTCTCATTTAGTATGGTTGGATTGCGGACATTTGGTACATTTCGAGCAACCACAACAATTTATAGAAAATGTTTCAAAATTTATGAATGAATAATTTTGATTGTATTGACTTTTTTTGGAATCCTTTAGTAAAATTTTTTATAAAAATGTTTTTTCTATTCTATTTTATTTTATTTCTAGTAATTCTATATGACTTTTATCAGGAAAATCATCAAGTATTATTAATCCCTCTGAATTTTCTTGTAATTGATGTATTTCTTCTTGATAGCCAAACCAATAAATAATTATACCTGGACCAAATCTGTTTGAATAACTTGATAACTGTTGAACTAAATATTGTCGATGAGTTTTTGTGTCTCCAAATAATGCTTTGCTTTCAATCCAATTAACTTCTTTACCTTTATATAGACATGGTATTGCTAATTTTAAATCTGGAGTTTTATCAAAACCAGTTCTTCTCAATACTGCTTCATCTAAATAGTGTAATCCAGCTTGTTTTGCTTGATCTTTTAAACGAATTTCAAACTCTTCTCCGACATAACGTCTAATCATATCAGCTATGGGTCCATCTAAATTATCACTGCAAATTCCACTTTGTATATTTAATGCTAAAGACGGATCTGGTATCAAATGTGATTTTTTTAAAATGTCTGCTATATCACTTTTCTTTTTATTTTTAAATTTTTCTGCAATTAAAAGTCTGCTTATCATACTTGGTGTAAGACCGGTTTCTTTTGCCATATTTACAACAATATCAGACTTATATGGATTTGTAGATGCTTTTTTGTCAAAACTTAATGCTAAGCCTGAGGATTTCATCGCCCATTTATGATAAATACTTTTCACTTTTCTGCGAATCTCGGTGCTCAATATGCTCTCTAACGTTCGCCCATCAATTCCACTAAAAACCTTATGCAATTCTAATCCGCAATCCATGGGCAAACCATCAAATTCATTTATATAAGTAACAATTTCTGAATAAGTCGCATTATCTAAAATCTTTTTCTTTTCAATCTCACCCATAAATATAAAATTTTTTTCAACCAAACTATTAAACCAATCTTTTAAAAAGGCATCTGTAAACAAAACAATAAATATACGGTTGACTGTCAACCATGGTAAAATGTCAAATTACATATGTTTTGATTACATTTTTGAAGAATTGCCAGCAAAAACTGGGAAAAAAATTTCACACATAAAGGAGTTGCTAACATATTTTTTATAAACAAATCAGTTTTTTTATATAAACTTCAAATCGTTGATGCAATCAACATTTAACGCGTTTATACGGCTGTTTCAAGCGTACTTGGAGTTTATTTTATGTCCATACAAACGTCACTTGATTTTTGATCGTTACTTCACTGAAGTCAATCAAAAATTCTGCTTACTTGATTGGAAATTTTTATAATTCCCTGAAATGTAATTGCTAAACGTGATTTTCGGTCTCTTAAACTGACGTAGTAAAAACGAAGTTTGAGTTTGAAGCTGATTTCAAATCAAGTACTCAATCTGCCATATAAACTCGATAATTGTTGATACGTACAAGGAAATATTCTGATTTAGTACAAACAAAGACGCACAGACAAAATAGGTTTGGTCTATTTACAAAAGGTTGTTTGACTTTACCCACACCATTATAGTTTTTATAGACTAAGATCCTTTAATCGTTCTTTTTCTGAAATACATCTTATTATTTTTCGTTTTTTTTTATTCTGTTCAGATTTTCTAATTTTTCATGTCAAATCTTTTATTATCCAGTAAACTTTCGAAAAAGAGTAAAATCGAAACACTTTTATAACACAAAGTAGGAAAATTTTTTCCCTACAAAAAAGGTCAACACCCAGTAAATATTTATAACTTACATCGCACTGTAAGTGACAGAAGCTAATCATTTGCAGAACACCAACGCCATCAAGCTTTCGGGCACACAAGTTAAAACCGGAAATCAAAGTTTTCTTCAAGTTAAGAGTTATTGAACGTTATAAAAGTAAGTTGTCTCATAATATTTATAATTCAAATTGAATATAAGAGAAAAAATAAAATTAATCGTTTTTGCCTGCTTGTTAATCAAATTTTTTATTTCTTTTCCATCAAAGCAAGTGACTAAGTTTAAGTTAAATTATTTTAAACAAAATTGATTATGTTTACGTAATTTTAATGCATTTCATTATATTATCAAATTCAATTATAAATCGGCAGATAAGAGTAAAATTTTGATTAGATAAAGATTTTCACCTGCATATGTAGGTATACTTGAGTATAATTTATTAAAATCATGTTTGTTGATATATTGCACAAATATTGGCAATGTCATACAAGTGAATAAAACCGGCATTTTCTCATAGCAAAATAAAATTGGAGACGTACAATATAAAAAAAACTAGACAATAATCAATTAAGTATGAGTTATTTTTTTAATACTTTAAATATAATTTAAATTAAATGCAAATTAGAAATAATAACAGATTTTTTAGCCTTTCTTTGTTTGTCAATTTTGATTTAACTAAATAGAAATTAAACGAATTATATTTCGGAAAATTCGCAAGTATTTCAATAGTGTGCATTGATGACATCATATTTTCCAATTTAGTGATACATTGGCAACCATTAAAAAGAACAAATTAATAATGAAAAATTAATAAAATGAGCATGCGTATTCCTACAATTTTCGCTCTATTATACCTATATTAAATAATTCTAAAATTGAATTATAATATACATATAAGTATTATACATTTTTTTTTTAGATCGCACAAATTTTAAGAATGGCAGCAAACTTAGTTTTAGATCTGAACCAATTAAATAATAAGTTATTGAAAGATGGAGAGAAACATCAATTGGTGAACACAATAACAAAACAATTTAAGGCTAACAAATATAGTAAAGCAGAAATTTGTGAATTCTTGAATCCCAGAAAAATTGGAATATATGAAAAATTCTTTAAACGGCTTTATATAAACATTTTAATTGAAACGAAAAATGATGATATTCTCATTCAATCCTTATTATCGGAAGATGAAGAAATTATTGATACAATTATTAAGCGTTGTGATTTTTTTTGGGGAAATCCAAATTATTCTATAAAATTTTTAAACGAAAAAATTTTTCCACAAATTTCATATTCACAAAGAAAAGAAATTCTTAAAGCTGTACAAAGAAACATAAAAGATCCTGAATATTCAAAAAATTGTTTTGATCAATTGAATACAATTTATGGTATTGAGACAGCCCGACCATTTTTGAAATTTTGCACATTAGATGTATGGATTGAAACACTTAACAGGAATGTATTTTTAAATGAGAAAGATCTTTTAGATATTATCAGAACTCGTCCGAAAGATGTTTTACATTATATTGAAGCGTTAGTAGAACTTCATAAAAAAGAAAAACTCCCAAATAATTGTTCTTTAAATGATTATTTGAACATTTTTTTGAAATTGCTTGATTTATATCCACAAGATGCTTTTAAATTAATTGATAGAAAAAAAGGTGTTTTAAGTTCATTTAAAGCCAGCAGAAAATTAACAAAAAAGTTGATTAAATTATTTTCTGATTTTGTATTGGCCGATGCAGAATCAGACAGATATAATCAATTTATTATCATGAAATATCTTACAAAAGAGCAACTGGAAATATATTTAAGTGAACTTTTTCCTAAAAATAATCCAAATTCTGTGTGTATTCCAGAAATAAATTATCAAGTAAGTTGTTACATTGATAAAATAAAAAGTAATAAAGTAAAACTGGATATTATTCAAAAATGCTATAAACGGGTTTATGGTAAAGAATTGCTAGCCAATAAGAATAATATTAATTTGGAATTACTAAAATGGATGGAAGACAATGATTTGAGACACATGTATGCAATGGAAAAATTTGAAAATAGTAAGTGTAGATTCACCCATTCATACCAATTATTTTATTTTCATAATCATATATTTTAATCTGCTAAGCGATTAGTTTCCCTTAGACAGGTCGATTTACTGTGCTGAATTAATTTATCATAGCAAATGCAATTTTCTTTTTCGGCATGACGCATATATACGACATTGACTAAAAAATGAACTTTTGAAATTGACGCATATATACGACAAAATCTCTTAACAGGTTAAAAACAAGTAAACTCAATACTTTTGTATATTTAATAATTTTTAAAAATTACTTAGCATATTTTTTACAACTTCCAGTTCATTAACTTTTTTGTATTGTTATTATTTTAGCCGTTAATAGTGATGAAAATGTTAAACCTTCAGAATGGATTCCGTTTATGAAAACTGATGTATCAATTCCCAAATTAAAAGAATTAATTCAGACTTCAACCAATGCTACAGATCGTAAAGAGTTTCTAAAAAATTTGATATTTACATGTGTAATAAATAAAGATTCGAAAGCTTTGATTGAAACATTAAAATATGTAAACACAAAATTCAAAAATGAACAAATTTCTGTAAGGAACAATTGTATTTCAATATTGGGTTTTGGTTTGGAAAAAAATTTAATTACTTATAATCCAGAACATTGGGAAGAAATTTACAATATGATATATAATTTCGATCTGAAATCCGAACTAAATGGATATACTGCTAATATTCCAAACATTATTTTTACGGAGGCATTAAAGTATTCAAGTAAAGATAAAACTTTATTCAAAAACTGGTTTCGACTATTCTGTCAGCAAGCATATTATCAAGAGGCGTTCAATGAAATTTTAAAAACTAAAAGTAAAAAGATATTAGAACTGGCATCAGAATGTATAGATGAAAAAAGCAGTGAATTTTTATTAGGATGCTACCATACTTACAATAAAGATCATCCAAAGGATACTTTAAATATATTTGGATATGAATTTGCTTTGCAATGTTGCAAAAGAAAAATCAAAGATAAAGAGGAAAATAATCTTTATTTACTATCTGAGCTGATAGATTTTCTTGAAAAAGATCGAAATATTGCTAAATATTTTAATAACGAAATTACAACACTTAAAAAAGAATATATTACAAGCGTCAATGACGTTGGTTGTTTCCCAAACTTTGCAAAATACGCAAAATGTCACAGCGATTATATTCCAATGATAGCGCCAAAAATATGTGATGTCTATATAAATTTTCTTAAACAAAGGCACAACTCGTTTTGTGTGAAAATGTACTGGTACCAATATATAAAAAAAGTACCTGAATTAGAAACTGCATTTCACAAAAAGTTGTATGAAATTTTGAAAAACAAAGAAACTGACGAATTGAAAGAGTACGCTATATGGATATTGTCTTCACATTTAACAAATGATGAGTTTTTCGAAATAGTGAAACCCTATTATCCTAAGGAAAAGGCACCTAATACTGAAAGTGATGAATGCCAGTACAAGTTTATGTACCAAAAACGAATAGCTTACAGGTAAGTCTAACACACTTATAATGTTATGTACTAAAAATGTATTTACATAAAATTTGAATTTCTAGTTTAAAAAGATTTAAATCCGATCCGGAAACTCTGAATGCACTAAAAGCTTTTTGTTATGGAGATTATTTACAATGGACAGTTGGAAGTCTTAACAGTATTTGCAAAAAAATCCCTTATTATAAATCAAAAGAGTTTCTTGAAAAATGTATCAATGCGCCTGTTTCGTTCAGAAAACACGTTTTTAGACTTCTGTATACGATTTTGAATAAAAATTCATCAGTTATTCTAACAAACGAAAACTGGACTAAAGAAAAAAATCCAACAACAAGAAAAATTTTGTTACAAACCATACTTAAATATTTTATGAATGATTTTGATAAACTGACTTGGTGGAATATATTGGAAAATTGCATAAACCAATTAAGTAGTAAAGACAAAGATATGATTGAAATTTTGGCTAACACCAACAACATTCCATTTGATTATTTATCACAGTATGTAGAATTAATATATAAAAAAATTTTGAAAATCGAAAATGAAGTACCTGATCTTCAAAAAACAAGATTTAAAATGTTACACAACATAAATTTTAAAATAAACTATATGTCGAAAGATTTCATTGAAGATCTATTAAGAGAAAACTTTTTGAATATAAAATTACATCAATCTGTTTGTTCCAATTACTCAATAATCGCGGCGAGCTATTTGTTTTCGAACAAAACATCTAAATCTGACGTAGAAGAAAGAATTAAGTTGATTTTTGAAAAGATTAAATTGGCATTTAAAAATTGGAATTCATATGATGAAAACAACAATGTTTATTTTGTAAGAGAATTAATATTTGACTTTATAAATGAAGTAATTCGAAAAATTTTGAACCTTGATATAGAAGACAAAGATTATATTAATTTTATGATTTTAAATTTTGTAAAATCGTTAAAAGAAATTTTCGATCCTTCGATTTACTTATATTCATATTATATCCATTTCGAATTAATTTTAATTTATTTTGATGTAGACAAAAATTTATTAGAGTTTGGTAAACAGATTCGTGATATAATTGATAGAGAAATCCAAAGGTACGGAACAATTTCAATATTTCAGTTAACCAAAGAGTTTCAACGTTTTTACGAACTTCTTGAAATTGATGATGATAATGAAAATAATATAACAGATATTATTGATGGGTTATTATATGAACCGTTACCATTTTGTGAATGCGCTTTAGTTGTACACTTTTTATTAAATGTCCAAAATGCTGTTAAGGATAGTGATATAAAGCGAAAGTATAATGAAAAATTGTTGGAAACAGAAGAGAAGAGAATAAGGTTGTATTTAAACAGCAACTAGTTAGAAATTGAACACATTCTTTGGTTAAAAATTTGTAAAATTTCACAAAATAAGTGTGTCACTTAATTTATTTTAAACTTGTAAATATGTATATGTATATAAAAATGGTAAAGAAAAATATGAAATGTTTCAAATTTGAAAAATGCAAATGCTAATTAATAAATAATAGGTATGAAAATATCTACATATGTACATAATATTTGTAATTAAAATCTTATCTTCACTTAACATAATTAAACAATTTTGTAAAATAAACATATAAGGTTTTCTAAGCCTTCAAAGATACGATTTTTATCTTCTTGCGAAAGATACGCACATTAAGGTTGCTTGTGTAGAAGTAAGAAGAAGAAAGTTGGTAGATACTTACTTATTTCCAAAATCACATAAATTTAATTATTTTTAATAAAATCTTTCATTTTTAATCTTTTTTTTTTATTTGAGAACTTCTTTTATGTTTGAGAACTTTAAGTTTTAACGTAAATAATTTTTTTATGGTAAAATTTCAGAAGTACTAACCGCTAAAAAAACGTTCCGTTGTTGCGAAAATTCATGAAATGAAACAAAAAAAAAAACCTATATAACCTTCGTTCACTCCTTAAACGCTGTCTCCCCTATATAAAAAACGTAACAAACATGAACGTTTTCCATGTTTCCGCTCCTGTCTAATGTTTTGAATCTTTTTGTTGAAATTTATAAATGGTTGAAAATATCCAATTAAATTGAAAATTTTAAATACAATATGGTTATTGCACTGCAATTTCGCTTTTGAGAATTTAAAATTTTTTCCGACAATCGTATAACGTATCTATTCAGGCAGAACATTACGTCTTTGGATTTAGGAAACTGTCATGTTTTCAGTTTGTTCTACTCGCATATAAAACAAAAATACATAAAATAAAGTTTTGTTCCCAAAAATTAGAAACAAAATCAAACGAAATTTTTTTAAATTAAGAGAAAACAAATTTTGAATCGCAAACATCTAACATTTTCAACGAAATACAAACAGGCAGCCTCCAGAAGTTTATATTCTTTGTAAAAATAGAATCAAAGCGGTGAACGGTAAACGACAGACGATTTTCGATGTTAACCCATGAACAACAGCAAAATGGCAAAAGCAACACTCATCAAGATGATGCCAAAAAAAATTACATGAAATTCACTTCACTATTCCTTGATTGCAACACTAATCAAAAAATGCAACACATATTTATTTTTGACAGATTTAGAAATTAGAACAATCGATTGTAACAAAATTTGTTTTTTATTCGTACTGTTTAAATATACCGATATGTAAAAATAGACTCACAAGTTTTTTTTTTTAAATTTTTACTCTTAGACTTCTTTTACAATTTTCAATATATGAAAGATTTTCTGTCAAAAGTTTCACATAAAGGTATTATATGAATTTGTTGTGAAAATTTTCATTAAATCTTAGACTTAGTCTAACATGTGACGGTCACCTTAGATGTATAGATTCTTCATATTTATTGCCTCTTTCCATGTCAATAAGTTTTAATTGGAAAAAATGAAACACTTAAATTTCTGCGTTAAAACGTTATTTTTAGATGTTGGCATAAGATTAATGTGGATATTTGAAATTATAAATTTGTTGTGTAGGCAACACTTTGCTATTATAAGTACAAATTAAACATATTTTGACATGGCAAAAATAATTGCTGTCAGTCATGAAACACACATCCGCATATATAAGGTGTTAAATATATTAATATCTTATTGTTACTGTGTAGTATGCTTGTTTGGATATAAATCTTGACATTACAAAAAATCATGAGATATGGATGAATATATTTGTATATATAAACCGGCTTTTCTATAATGGTTTTGAATTTGGATTAATATTTTAAATTTAAATTTAAATTGTATGAAACTAAGAAATAATGTTAGTTTTAATGTTTTTCCTTATTTTATTAGTTTTTCCTCAAGTATTTTAATATTAAGGCGAATAATTTTTTTTTGTACTTGGAAGTTTTTTTTGAGATGACATCATATTTCTTAATTTTTAATTGAAAGAAGAAATTGAATGAAAAATTAATAAAATGAGCATGTGTTGCGTATTCCTATAAATCGCTCTTTAAATTATATATTAAATAGTTACATATAATTTAATTATATATGTATATTTCTTGTAGATCACTTAAATTTTAAGAATGGAACAAAACTTAGTTTTGGATCTGGTTCAATTAAATAATAAGTTATTGAAAGACGGAGAGAAACATCAATTGGTGAACACAATAACAAAACAATTTAAGGCTAACAAATATAGTAAAGCAGAAATTTGTGAATTCTTAAATCCCAGAAAAATTATAACATTTGAAAAATTTGTTAAACGGCTTTATATAAACATTTTAATTGAAACGAAAAATGATGATATTCTCATTCAATCCTTATTATCGGAAGATGAAGAAATTATTGATACAATTATTAAGCGTTGTGATTTTTTTTGGGGAAATCCAAATTATTCTATAAAATTTTTAAACGAAAAAATTTTTCCACAAATTTCATATTCACAAAGAAAAGAAATTCTTAAAGCTGTACAAAGAAACATAAAAGATCCTGAATATTCAAAAAATTGTTTTGATCAATTGAATACAATTTATGGTATTGAGACAGCCCGACCATTTTTAAAATTTTGCACATTAGATGTATGGATTGAAACATTGAACAGGAATGTATTTTTAAATGAGAAAGATCTTTTAGATATTATCAGAACTCGTCCGAAAGATGTTTTACATTACATTGAAGCGTTAGTAGAACTTCATAAAAAAGAAAAACTCCCAAATAATTGTTCTTTAGATGATTATTTGAACATTTTTTTGAAATTGTTTGATGTATATCCACAAGATGCCTTCAAGTTAATTGATAGAAAGAAAGGTGTTTTAAGTTCATTTAAAGCCAGCAGAAAATTAACAAAAAAGTTGATTAAATTGTTTTCTGATTTTGTATTATCCGATGCAGAATCAAATAGATATAATCAATTTATTATCCTGAAATATCTTACAAAAGAGCAACTGGAAATATATTTATGTGAACTTTTTCCTAAAAACAATCCAAATTCAGTCCGTATTCCAGTAATAAATTATCAAGTAAGTTGTTACATTGATAAAATAAAAAGAAATAAAATAAAGCTGGATATTATTCAAAAATGCTATAAACGGGTTTATGGTAAAGAATTGCTAGCCAACAACAATAATATTAACTTTGAATTACTAAAATGGATGGAAGATAATGATTTAAGACATATGTATGCAAAGGAAAAATTTGAAAAAAGTAAGTTTCTACCTGTTTTTTTTTTAATTTGATGTAAATTAAATTTTCTTTTGTAAAATTTTAGCTGCAAGCAGCGATGACATACAAAACGATTCAGACCCAAAGAGTAAAAAACCCTCTGAATGGATTCCGTACATGAAAACAGATGTATCAATTCCCAAATTGAAAGAATTAATTCAGACTTCAACCAATGTTACAGATCGTAAAGAGTTTCTCAAAAATTTGATATTTACATGTGTAATAAACAAAGATTCGAAAGCTTTGATTGAAACATTAAAATATGTAAACACAAAATTCAAAAATGAACAAGTGTCTGTAAGAAGCTACTTAATTTCAATTCTTGGATTTTCTTTGGAAAAGAAATTATTTACATATAATGCAGAACATTGGCAAGAAATTTACAATATGATATATAACTTCGATTTGAAATCTGAACTTAATGCATATTCCGTTAATATTCCAAACATTATTTTTACGGAAGCATTAAAATATTCAACTAAAGATAAAACTTTATTCAAAAACTGGTTTCGACTATTTTGCCAGCAAGCGCATTCTCAATGGGCATTTAATCATATTTTAAAAACAAAAAGTAAAAAGGTATTAGAATTGGCATCAAAATGTGTAGATGAAAAAAATAGTGATTATTTATTAGAATGCTACCATAATTACAATAAAGATCATCCAAAGGATTCTTTAAATATTGCTGAATTTGAATTTGTTATGCAATGTTACAAAAGAAAAATTGATGAAAGAGAAGAAAAAAATCTTAATAACTTGGCTAAAATTATAAATCTTCTGGAAAGAGATCAAAATATTGCAAAATATTTTAAAGAAGAAATTACAGGTATAAAAAAAATATATATTAGAGGCATCAGTGACGTTGGAAATTTGCAAAATTTTGGAAAATATGCAGAGTGTGATCCTGATTATTTACCATTTATAATACCAAAAATATGTGATATCTTTATTACGTTCCTGAGGCAAAGGAACTGCACTTTTTGTGGAAAGATGTACTTTTACCAATTTATAAAAAAGGTGCCAGGATTAGAAACGGCATTTCACAAAAAGTTGTATGAAATTTTGAAAAACAAAGAAACTGACGAATTGAAAGAGTACGCTATATGGATATTGTCTTCACATTTAACAAATGATGAGTTTTTCGAAATAGTGAAACCCTATTATCCTAAGGAAAAGGCACCTAATACTGAAAGTGATGAATGCCAGTACAAGTTTATGTACCAAAAACGAATAGCTTACAGGTAAGTCTAACACACTTATAATGTTATGTACTAAAAATGTATTTACATAAAATTTGAATTTCTAGTTTAAAAAGATTTAAATCCGATCCGGAAACTCTGAATGCATTAAAAGCTTTTTGTTATGGAGATTATTTACAATGGACAGTTGGAAGTCTTAACAGTATTTGCAAAAAAATCCCTTATTATAAATCAAAAGAGTTTCTTGAAAAATGTATCAATGCGCCTGTTTCGTTCAGAAAACACGTTTTTAGACTTCTGTATACGATTTTGAATAAAAATTCATCAGTTATTCTAACAAACGAAAACTGGACTAAAGAAAAAAATCCAACAACAAGAAAAATTTTGTTACAAACCATACTTAAATATTTTATGAATGATTTTGATAAACTGACTTGGTGGAATATATTGGAAAATTGCATAAACCAATTAAGTAGTAAAGACAAAGATATGATTGAAATTTTGGCTAACACCAACAACATTCCATTTGATTATTTATCACAGTATGTAGAACTAATATATAAAAAAATTTTGAAAATCGAAAATGAAGTACCTGATCTTCAAAAAACAAGATTTAAAATGTTGCACAATATAAATTTTAAAATAAACTATATGTCGAAAGATTTCATTGAATATCTATTAAGAGAAAACTTTTTGAATATAAAATTACATCAATCTGTTTGTTCAAATTACTCAACAATCGCGGCGAGCTATTTGTTTTCGAACAAAACATCTAAATCTGACGTGGAAGAA